ATTCCAGCCTTCTAGTCAAGTAATAGAACTCTCCATTTTCATATGAGCACACAGCCAGGAGGAATAAAGACTGCATTTCCCCAGTCCCTCTTGCCATTAGATATGGCTAAATTCTGGCAAAAGACATATGGATGTAATAGGGAGGTTCACCTATAGCTTCTGGGAAGAGTCCCAGATGAAGGATGAAGAGCAGGATGAAGAGCAAGGATGAAGGGGCAGGATTTTGGCTTAGCGATTAAGATGCCCATATCAAGTGCCACTCTGCTACTGTGCTCCCAGTTCCAGGTCCCTACTAATTAACGTGCACCCTAGGAAGCAGCAGGTAATGCTCAAGTGGATACTTGTGTATCCACTCCATGTAAGAAGCCTGAATTGGGTTATGAGCCCTAGCAGTAACCTGGCCCAGCTCCAGCTGTTGCAGGCACTCGGAGACTAAACCGTCCCAAGAAGAAATTACTATCCCTACATTATCAGTGAGGAAACTGAGCTATGGGCGGGCCACATAATTTGCAAAAGCCCCACAGCAGCAGAGTCAGGATGCCAGCATAGTGTGAATAGATGTTGGCATTCCTAACCCCTATGCAGTGGTCCCTCTTCCTGCCAGAAGTTAAGATATCCACCAACCATCTACTCATCAATTCAGTGAATTCTAATCAAGTGCCTGGGCACTGGAGACTTAGGGGCTGTATAAACAACTCCCTGTCCCTACAGAGCTTTCAGTCCCCAAACAAGCAACACATCTACAAGCACCTCCAGAGTCTGAGGAGTGCAACTGCCAGTCCCTGGGGACACAGCAGGCAGGAACCACCACTAGTGCTCCAATCATTGCCAGCATCTGCCTCTCAAATGTAACCATTGGATTTCACTGGACAAACTGTCTTGTGGGGGTTAAGCTAGTGGTCTTATCCACTATCTGCCCACTCCAACCAGGGGATGCTAATAGATTAGAGACCCCATCACCAGGAACCAGGCCTAAAAAGTGCCCATCTGTTTTCAACAAAGGACAACCGCTGAAAATCACTCCTAGAGCCACTTGGCAAGAAGGTGGGAAGGGAGAGCAGTGGGCAGGAAAGAGCTTTTCCAAGACTGTGACTACGTGGCTCAAGTGTCCCGTCCTGATTCATTCAGACTTGGGGGTAGGAGAAGAATAACTTCTAAACTGGGGACTGACTGGATGGGAGGAGCTGTGAGGGAAGGGTAGGAGCGGGGAAGCATCACTGCCAAATTTAAGAAAGATTGCCAGGGAGCCTGGTCAAAAATCATACATGATCTTTGACCACAATTTCACTCTGGCCCTCCACAAGGTAATGAAAAAAAGCCTTATGTTCAAAAGTATTTATATAGAACCATAAAAAAAAAAAATCCAACTACTACAGACACATGTAGGTAAACTATGGTAGTAGCACTCCTAACATTCATTAACCACTTATGCTATTTCAGGCATTATGTTATACAGCTACTTGTCAGCACCCATTCCATCAAGCCTAAGAAGAGAAACGATTTGTTAATACACAACAGCAAGAAAGGAGTCTAATTCAGATTTGAACCCAGCAAAACCAACACACCTGAGCAGCAGTGAACTGTACTACAGCATCTGGAGTGTTACAAAGTCATTAAAAATGGTAACTGTGAAAACTATATAACCTGGGGCATGGTTAACAATCAGGTATTCCTTTAAAGACTTCAAAGTTATACAGAAAGGATGAGCTACAGAAAGGCTCCCAGACCCTGAAGACTAGATGCTAGGATTGCTTCCCTACCTGCAAGGATCGGGATGAGAGGTGCAGGGTATCCCCTCACCCTGACACCTGAGGTATAAGCAGGTAGATGTGTTGGGGAAATCCTCTTCTCTGCAGAGATGAGAGCGCCCGGTTGAAACTGGCCAGGGCCAAGGCAATCCAGACCATTTTGGTCATTTGTAGCACTAAGCCAGAAAGACATGAGCTCTAGCAACTCTCCTGACCCTCACTTTTGAGGAAATTAATGAATTAAAAAAGATGGGCATGAGGCTGCCCCAGCCTCCCCTTCCCTCTATCATCTCTGCAGAAGCTGGAGGTATCAGTATGGGGTCTAATTAAAAAGGAGAAACCATCAATTTGATCAGAGGAGTATTAATACAAAAATTGACTCATTATAACTTTGCCTGGTAAAAAGAAAAGAGAACTGTAAGAAACACAACCATAGCAGGTATAAGCAGCAGCTAACCATGTGCCCAAGCCAAAGATCCTGCTTCCTCTCAGACAGGGGAAGCTGGTGCTGAAGAAGTTATGTGTGCCACAGTGGCATAACACTGAACACAATACTGTTTTGAAAAAGTTCTAAGTGCAAAATGAATGTGGGAAATGTAGAGCTTCTGTCCACACTGACTGTCTTTGGAACCAACAGCACACACGTGCTTGTTCGGAAACCCAGCTGTTTTCAGAGTATACAGCGGAACTCCCCAGCTGAAAGATGACAAGGCAAAGCTGTGTTTCAACTTTCTGTCACCAGCCTTACACTGGATATATACCATGTGTTCAACATTTATTTTTGAATATATTAACTCTGAGGGAGAACTAGTAAACTAATTTTTTCCTATTGCAAATGTAACCAAAATATTTGTTGGGGAAATACAAAGGTAGAATAGGAGAAAACTATGAACAATATCCCTGCTACCCCCAAAATAATCACAATTAGAACTTCCGAATATTTATTAAGTAAAAATAATATATTTCTAGTTTTTTTTTATTGCCAAGTCAGATATATATACAGAGAGGAAGATCTTCCATCCGATGATTCACTCCCCAAATGACAGCACAGCCAGAGCTGAGCCAATCCAAAGCCAGGAGCCAAGAGCTCTTCTGGGTCTCCCACAGGTACAGGATCTCAAGGCTTTGGCCCGTCCTCTGCTGCTTTCCAAGGCCACAAGCAGGGAGCTGGGTGGTAAGTAGGACTGCCAGGGATAGGAACTGGCACCTTTATGGGATCCCGGTGCATTCAAGGCGAGGATTTTAGCCACTAGGCCACTGTGCTGGGCCCTATATTTCTGTTTTCAAGACTTATTTGAAAGGTACAGTGACCAAGAAAAGGAGAGACAAAAAGATCCTCCATCCACTTAGTTCACTTTCCAAATGGTCCCCAGTGGCTACAGCTAGAACAGACTGAAGGCAGGAGTCTGGAACTGCATTCAGGTCTCCCACACACTTGGGCCACCTTCTGCTGCTTTCCTAGGCACATTAGCAAGCAGCCGAAATGAAAGCAGGGCAGTGCAAACTCCAACAGGTGCTCCTGTATGGGATCCTATCACTGAAGGGAGTACCTTGACCCCAAATGCCACAACCCAGGGACCAGGCCCCTTCTTTTAAAATACAGATGTAAACATTTGATATCCTATATGAAATTTTATTTCATGCACATTTTAAAAAAGTATTTTTATAATCATTCATCTACTGTTGAAGAATTAACAGTGACTTATCACAGAAAATGTTTACATTGATGCTGAAATTCCCTCTCTTAAATGTTGACTGCTCAGCATCTCATTCTCAAAATGATAGGTAGTTTATGCAACTAACCACTTCCTTTTTGGAATTTGTAGCTTTTTAAAATTTTTTTCCTTATCATAAATAACCCCAGATAGAGTACTGTTGTGCTTAACATTTTTTTTCTGAGAGGCCTGTCTTAAGATGGATGTCTCTTTTGTAAAATTACTGCGTTGGATGGCATAAATGTACTTAGGGTCACTGAGGAAAATTTATTTATTTATAAATAAATTTATTTATTTTTACTTGAGTTTTCCCTTTTTAAACAGGACACAAACCCAGGACCTTCTATGCCCTCTAGCAGGAAACAGGAAAGCAAAATACCATAAATCAACAACACTTGCTCACCTATTATCACGCTCCCTCCCTTTACATGCTACCCAGCCCAATCCTGGTTTGTCCCATATTCTACGTGTGTCGCCAAGCTGCCCAGTTGCTAATGTACTTACTAGATGATTCCCTAAGGCCCTTTCAGGAGGGTGGAATGGTGCCCTTGGGGCACCAAACTGCAGGTGCCCGGGCGTGGCAGGGCGAGGCTAACTCACAACAAACAGCACAGAGCTCCCGGGAGGGCCCGAGGCTACGCAACTCCTTCCCCAGCGGCAGCCCCTCTTCACCGGTCCACCCTCCCGGACCTTACCGAACTGCAGGTTCTTCCCCGTGGAAGGGTCGCCCAAGCACGGGGGGCTCTCCTTCCTCCCGCCCCTTTCCTCTCTGGGTCCTCCGAGCCAGACCCCAGTCTGAGGTCTCCGCCACCCCCAAGATCCCGACCCGATTCCGCCCCCTCCTGTTCTCGGCACCTCTTTGCCCCGCATCTGTACGGACTCGTCCTTCAGTCTTTCCCGACTTGACTGGTTTCTGCCCTGTTTTATCCTCGCCCCTCTCCAACCTCCCGTCGGTCTGCGAGTGTCTGGTCCCGGCCCAGTCGCCGGTACCCCGAGTGTCTCTCTCCTGACAGGATCGGATCCCTGTAGGTCTCCTTGCCTACGCCCTCCCCCAAGCCTGTCCCTCTGCGCCCCCGCCCGCCTCTGTGTTTCTGTCAGCTTCCGGGTGTGTTCCGCATGTTCTGAGCCTCGCCCTCTGTCCCTCCAGATCCCTGCTCGTTCTTCCTCCCCGGGGACGGAGAATCTTCGACCTGGTTCCCCGCCCTCACCAACGAACTCTTCCCTCTTCCACTTTCTCTACTTTGAACCCATCCCAGCAGAGTCCAGGAAGTAGCCTGGCGCCGGAGACTGGCGGCGGCGGTGCCCAATGGAGCGCGCCAGCGGCGGCGGCGGCCCCGCCCTGAGCGCGAACAAGGCCAATGGACGAGCGGAGGCGGGACTTCCGCTGTCCCGAAGAGGGCGGGGGGAGCGAACTGTTGTGGTGCGGCGCGTTGTGCGGGCGGCGGCCGGGCGGCCCAGGGGCTGCCGCGGGAACTCGGGGTGCAGCCGAGAGGCTGCAGGGGCGGGGCGGGCCGGACACGCCGCGGGGGCCCGGGCGCCGCGGGTTCGAGGCCGGGCCCCGCGCGGGGAGGCCGCGTCACCCCGGGGGAGCTGCCCGGCAGCGAGTTTGCCCCACTGCCGAAAGAAGGCGGGAGCCGACGGGGGCCTTCGAAACCCCCTGGCAACCCCGGCCCGGAGTCCCTAGGGAGCGGCCGCTTCCTGAGACCCCGTACGGGAACGCCAGTGTCGCAGGGTAGCTGCAGTGAGCCCCCCTCAGCAAGAGGGGCCTCCGGGTGACCCCCCGTGAACCGCCGGAGTCGACTCCGGGGCCTCTCGCCCTGGAGGTAGAGGGTTCCCGGAGACTCGCGGCCGAGAGGTCTGAGGGAGCAGGGCCTCTGGGACGCGGGGCAAGGTAGCCCTGGTGTGGAGACTGGCTCTGGGACCCTCGGGTACGGGGGGTCTCGGCGACCTGCCCCGCAGGGAGTGCGGCCGCGGAGTGGCCTGCAGGGGACCTTGCCCCGGAGGGGCCGACGCGGAGCGGGGAGATGAACGGCTTCAGCACGGAGGAGGACAGCCGCGAAGGGCCCCCAGCCTCCGCCGCCAACGCCGCTGCTGCCGCCGCCGCCGCCGCCGCCCCGGGCTACGGCCAGAGCTGCTGCCTCATCGAGGACGGGGAGCGCTGCGTCCGGCCCGCGGGCAACGCCTCCTTCAGCAAGAGGGTGCAGAAGAGCATCTCGCAGAAGAAACTCAAGCTGGACATCGACAAGAGCGTGAGTCCGCGCGCCCTGCCGCTCGTCGGCCGCTGCCCCGGGGCCGAGGAGCTTTCCTGCCGCGGACCTCGCCGCCCCTCCTCGGCCAGCCGGAGGAGTTGGGAGCGGGATTTGAGAGGCCGCTGGAAGCGCGGACCTGCCCTGGCTGTGATTCTGCTCAGATCCGGGAGGTTGGGGGCGGGGGAGGGGTGCGAGGACTCCTCCTGCCGGAGAAGATTTGACAGCAGTTTGCAGCTCGTGTTATTGGCTCAGACGTTAGGGAAGTGGGAAGTGGGTTAATGTTGGCCCACGAAGGTGCGAGAATTGGGAAAGGGGTGATAAAAGGACCCGGCTCTTGGCCAACTTCTGGTTCCTTCTAGGAACCCTGTTTGTAGTGCCTTCAGATGGGGAGAGGTGGCGGCCACTTCCCTGTCCCTGCGACCTCTTTCCGCGGAGGATCGCCTCGCGGACGGTGGTTTTTCCAGGGTGTTGCAGAAATAAGGCCACGGGCAGGTCTTCGGAGGTGACACTAGCGAACGTAGTGATTGGGTTCGTGGAGGGCGGGGAGGAGAGGGGAGTGTCAGCCTGGTAGCGTCTTAGAGAAATGCGGAGGTGGAAGATGGAGATTTAAGTCTTGCTTGCCCTGCCTTGTGGCTAATAATAGGGAACTTTTCCTGTGTGATTTCTCTACTTGTAGTTAACAATTCTGAAGCTGTGTCTTTTGTCATCCAGTTAAGAACTTTTTGGTTCAACATCTGTTGCTGCAAGCCTTGAGTGGCTGTTTTGTGACTAGGAATTGGAAGTGAGTTAAGGGGGGGAGCAGGGTTAATGTGTAGGTGCTTTAGCTAAGAGGTTAGGTGGTTAATATCCATTCTCTTGAGGGACTAGAATTCTTCCAGAGTTTAGGAAAATCAAAGAACGTTAAACTGAGAGGAAGCGCACGATTTTGCTTGTGATTTCATTGTTGACACTGAAGCCCAGATACTGGAAAGCTTGGCCCTGGATACACACAGTCTCCGAAGCTGGTTGAGATCTTAAACGCATTATCTGGTTTATTCTGTAGCCACAGGGGCAAACCTTCATGAAACTGCCCCTAAAATGTCTTCCCTGACCTTCCAGGCTCTTGCCACCCTGCCCCGATTGTATTTGAATTTTGTTGTTATAATGTATCTGTTGCTGGGAGTGAGTGAGTTTCTCTTACTATAAATCTGAAAGACTGGAAGAGATTAATTTTGGAAGGGACAACTGACTGGACATTGTGATTAAATCAAGTGTTGGGATGAAATGTTTGTAGGACATCAGTGGAAATGATCTCTACTTTCCCTATAGTTAGTAAAAGCTTTTATATTCATGTAATGCAGTCTGTAAGAATAGAGAAAGAAGTATCCAGTCGGTTTAAATGCTTGGAGCCTTCACATGGGAGTGGTTCTGCTGCTGCAGTTGCAGCTCTGTTAACCCGTTGACCCCTACAGGACGCCTGTGTTGCTCATTGCACACGCACAGGCGCCATCCCATCCAGGAGAGAGGCCGCCTGAGTTGAGTGCTAGTTTCCCAAAAGTCACGCTTCTGCAAGAAAAAGGTTCCCAGGTGGAGTCCCTCACCATTGGTTTCACTGTGGTGTTGTGGAGTCATTATTTCTGAAAACGATTCTATTTCTTTCTCACATGCTTGGACAGAAATTCAATTCCAAGTAATTGCTGTGTTATAAGGATTTTTAGCTGTTAGTGAAAAGTTAAATTTTGCTGCTGCTATACTGCCCATTTCTTACTCCAAAGGCCCCATACTCAAAGCTGTAAAAATAGTAATAATTTTTTTTTAAGATGTATGTATTGGAAAGACAGATTTATAAAGAGAAGGAGAGCCAGAGAGAGAGAAATCTTCCCAACACTGGTTTTCTCCCCAAATGACTGCAACGGCCAGAGCTGAGCTGATCTAGAGCCAGGAGCTTCTTCGAGGTCTCCCATACAGTTGCAGAGGCCCAAGGACCTGAGTCTTCCTCTATTGCTTTCCCAGGCCATAAGCAAGGGGCTGGATGGGAAGTGGGACAGCCAGGATATGAACCAGCACCCATATGGGATGCTGGCAATAGGCAGGTGGTGGATTTAACTCTTTGTGATATTCTTTGAAGCATGTATATTGGAAAAGTGTTAAGGAGAAACAGTGACTATCTTGTGAAAGGATCTGGCAGAAAACCTTTGTAACATCAACAAATCAGAAAAGTTAACTCATGTTACACAGACATGGCAATATTCTGGTATTTGTATTAATGTATACATGAAACCATTTCTCCCATTGATATTTTTCTGGAGAGAAGTGAAATTGAGAATCGAATAAAGGAAAAAAAGTAGGCCTAGGAATGGAAATATGCCAGGAATTAGAAGATTTTGGTGACATTGGTCAGATCCTTTGTGCCCTCTAAGTGGCTTCAGGCTGCCCTTCCAGGAAATGAGATTGGGAACTGTGAGTTTGCACTCGTGCTTTCTAAATTCTCTTCCAGCTAGGATTCCAATATTCTAGTGTTACCACTTGAAATCTTCCTCAAGCCAAGCAGGAAGTTGCCTGCTCTGCCTATTGTCATGCTGTTGTACTTGCAACTCTGAACTTGAGGTGTGCCTGGTCTCAGCATTCACATGCCAGCCTGCTGGGCAGGTTTGTCTCAGGAATTTAGTCTCCTTCTGGAAAAAGACATGTCCAGGAATACAGGGGCACTTCAAAAAATGCATGGAAAGATGGAATTCAGAGAATTTAATTTTGTTGCAAAAAAGTCTTTAAGTTTATGCATAGTTTTAGCATAATAATACATTTACAAAACCTGCTTTTGAAGTACCCTCTCATGTATGTTTATGTGTATATCAGCTAGGTGGGATTCTGTGGCACAGTGGGCATGTGCTGTGTCTGAAAAATACTGAAAGAGTTGAATTTGTCAAAGTTATCTATCCCAGTTTATTACCATGTGAGTGATAGTGTTTGTTTCTTTTTAACTGGCCTTATGGATGTGTCAGCCTTCATGGAGTACCTGCTGTTTACCAAAGACAATCATAGTGTAACCTTAAAACTGCTATGTCTCTTTAATCTAACCACACAGAAATGGTAGTTCATCTGACTAAATAAAGTTTTCACTATTTTCTTTACAAAAAGTACTGAATTGATGCTGATTACCTGTTAGTTTATTTTTATCTTTAAAGATTTATGAAGTAAACTCAAAATCTCTCTAAAATATCATACAACAGCTACTTTTAATATCAGTAACCCCCAGTCATTTATAAAGGCATTAGGTTTCTATAAGGTTTAGAATGGTTCCCCCAGATAACCCTGATACTGACGTCTGTAAATAAAAATATATTCTTCGCATCTTAGCTGCCATTATCACCTTCATTGTCAGAATGGCTCCAGCTGGTATTAGGAAATAAGCAGTAAGATCCTTGTGAGAATTTCCACATTTCTTTTTGTATGGATCATTTGTGAAGCAATGCAGAAATTAGAAATGATACATGGAGTCATATTTTTTAAGGAGTTATCTTGCCATAGTAACTATGTCAGTAACAGTTTATAGCATGTCCCATGGACTATTACCACAGCCCTTTTTCCCTCCTTCCCTTCTCCCAGGACAATTTGTTCTAGCCCCACTTAATGTCATGACTTTTATAGCCCTGGAAATGTTGCACCACTTCTTGTCTAAAAAAACAATGAGGGCTTCTATCTTAAGGAAAATCTGAGCTGTTCTTGCTTGCCTACACAGGCGGTCACTACCACCTAACTGCTGTGGTGTGCCCTGGACTGCCTCACTCTGTGTGATAACATCCTAGCTTCTCCTTCCCATCTGAAATGCTTCCTCTGCACATCTTCCCTTCTAGACAGGAATCTCCACCTTATCTGATCATTGCAACCACAGAAATATTTCCCTTTGCTCAGTCAGGGCTATTTACTGTCTTTACCTCTGTGGATGCTTGGCCTCTCTATGTGTATTTTGTTGTGCAGTTCAGTAGCGAGCCTCTAAAGTCTGGCCCACTTACTCCTCTCTCCTTCCAATGACCTCAAAAGAAAATTAGCCCCATCACTTGGCACTTACTTGTTGAAGTTCCTGTGAAACTGGCAACCCTGACTTTTAATTTCCTTTCCATCAGGTAAGGCACCTATATATCTGCGACTTCCACAAAAATTTCATCCAGAGTGTCCGAAATAAAAGGAAGAGGAAGACAAGTGATGATGGTGGAGATTCTCCTGAACACGACACTGACATTCCTGAGGTAAAGGCCAAAGAAATACCAGCCTGAGAGATGGAGAAGGAACCTCTGATCTCATCCTTACCCTTGGCCTGGTGTCCTTCTTGCGCTAACAGGTCATTTTAGTTCCCTTTGTCTGCTGTATTTATTTTAAAATTGGTTCATAGAGCCATAATATTAAATCTGAATACATAAAAGCATGGAAATCCACTGGACTGACTGCCCCATCATCTTAACAGGTACAGAGACCTAAATTGATGTCCATGGTTTGATCCGAAAGCTCTACTCTAGCATCCTTCCCAATAGACCACCCTACTTTGTCCATAAGGTCCTTCACAAATGCTTAAATACAACCACAGTGTCAGAACATTTAAAATCTTCCTTTTGACTTTACAGACTGAATGTCTATGGTTTGAGAATGTAATCTCTTCCTCTGCGGTTTGTAAAATAAAGATGTAAATTTGTCATTTCTCACCAGCTCTGGTTTTCTGTCCCTTTCTGCTTCTGTTACTCCTCCTAGTGCAGGCTGCTTGTTCCTGAGAATCCATTCCAAAGTCAGTTATCCTGCACCAGAGTTCCTCAGCCCTGGCACTTTTAATATTTGACAACCAGATAATTCTTGTTCTGGGGGATGCCCTGTACATTGGAGAAGCCAATTATACCACCCCTGGAGTCCTGACAGTCAAAACAGGTTCCCAAACATTGCTAAGTGCCTTTTTGGGGCTCCAGTGCTCAGGTGTTGCGAACCACTGCACTAGATCATGAGACCTGCGCTTCTGAAACCACACAGCCTTCAAGGTGCCAGTGTCTGTGAAGTGAGGCTCCTGGAAAGGATATTGGATTTTTTTTCTATCTAAATTGTTTTCACTTAAGACTCAGCAAAAGAAGAACCGTTTATAGTGTACATTGAATATTTGGTGCATGAATATTTCATAAGGCAACTGCCTGTTAGCACTCAGAGTGAAAATGACTGTGTAGGAATAGAAAGAGTAGGCGGGCCTTTGTCTGCAGATGTGGAAGAAACCTTTGAAAATCTGGGTGCTTTTCCCCTTGTCCCTCTCTGAGTTGCCTTTTCAAGTGTTAGTTTATAGCACCTTTCTGTTGCATTTAGCATTGTTTTATAAAGAAATTGATGTGATAGATTTCTAACTGCTTTTCATAAAAAAGAAAAAAAAAAGCACGGTTTGAGGAATGTTTTGAAAAGAATAAAGGACTTGGGTCCTTCATATTGATATTCATTTTGTTTTTAAGTGCTCACCACCTGCCTGAAGCAAGAACATCCCTTTTAGAGGCAGGTAAAGACAGCCCAACTTTCTGGGCCTTCAATGTTTCATGACTATATAGCTTTCCTTTCTTGCTGTGTTAGGGGAAAAAAAAATGGTGGGAGGTCCCTTGCCCTCTATTATCCAGTCACCTGCAGAGACCCTCACCCTGACTTGCCAGTTGTCCATTTACTGGAGGAGCTTTTGCATCTTCTTTTGGAAGGTCATTAAGAATTCTAATACTTTCTGGAAGAGCTAATAAAAAAGAAATACTTGAGTGCCTCCTAGTGTTCCTCATGCCCTCTGCCCAGTGCCCGCTGCTTCTGGCAGGTCTTGGTCCCAAGCATCTCTCTGGTTTGTGCTTTTGCCCTTCATCCTCGGTAAAATTCAGCCACATCATCTCACTCAGGACTGCTGCTGCAGCATAGCTTTCTGGCCTGGCTTGCAGTCAGTCTTCACTGTGAATGACCCTGCACCAGATCCACCTTCCTGAAACAACTCCATGCACTGCCTGTGGGAACTCCTCTTGCTTTTCCAGGCTTGCTGCCATCCCACTGTTTTTCAAACCACTGTGATTGCCTATACCCTCTTGCACATCTGTTCGCCTCGTGACCTTCTGTGCATGTGACCTTCTTCCACCTCACTTCCTTTCTAGACCCTTCCCCTACTTTGCTTCAGCTTCACTTCTACCTCTCTGTCTGGATCACCCCACCCAGCTGGAACTCTTTTTCCACTGTTGTTTTTATCTTCTCAGCCAGTTACTAGTCCTCAAAGGGCCATTTTTTTCTTAACATTTATTTGTTTATTGGAAAGTCAGATATACAGAGAGGAGGAGAGATAGAGAGAGGAAGATCTTCCATCCGATGATTCACTCCCCAAGTGAGCGCAATGGCCGATGCTATGCCAATCCGAAGCAAGGAGCCAGGAGCCTCTTCTGGGTCTCCCACAGGTGCAGGATCCCAAAGGCTTTGGGCCGTCTTCAACTGCTTTCCCAGGCCACAAGCAGGGAGCTGGATGGGAAGCGGGGCTGCCGGGATTAGAACCAGCACCCACATGGGATCCTGGGTGTGCAAGGCGAGAGGAGCTTAACCACTGCGCCACCGCGCCGGGCCCCCAAAGGGCCATTTCTAAGACTTCTTTTGTAGCCGTACCCATCCTTATCATCACCTACAGTGACACAAAGCATATATTGGACTCTTAATGAATCCTAAGTGATCATGTGATAGGTAACAAGTTTCTGCTTTTTTTTCTAGGTTGATCTGTTCCAGCTGCAAGTGAACACCCTACGACGTTATAAACGACACTACAAGTTGCAGACCAGACCAGGCTTCAATAAGGCCCAGTTAGCAGAAGTAGGTGACAATATTCTCTTAAAAAGAGAAAGCCAGCTCTGCGATTCTGATGGTGACTCTAATTCTCCTCTATTTCAGTGTGTCTCTTCATTATATTTTTCGTAGTTCTAAAAGCAACTTTCTCATCCCTGTTTTGCATATATTATAACCCCAGAGTTTAGACTTGACAAGAAGGTCCCTTTTTTTTAAAATTTATTTTTATTACAAAGTCAGATATACAGAGAGGAGGAGAGACAGAGAAGAAGATCTTCCGTTGATGATTCACTCCCCAAGTGAGCTAACAGCCAGTACTGCGCCGATCTGAAGCTGGGAACCAGGAACTTCTTCCGGGTCTCCCGCGCAGGTGCAGGGTCCCAAAGCTCTGGGCCATCCTCGACTACTTTCCCGGGCCACAAGCAGGGAGCTGGATGGGAAGTGGAGCTGCCGAGATTAGAACTGGCGCCCATATGGGATCCCGGCGCGTTCAAGGCGAGGACTTTTAGCGGCTAGGCCATGTCGCTGGGCCCAAGAAGGTCCCATTTTTAAAAAGAAAAGCATGATAGTGGAGAGGAGTAGACTTGTGTAAGATCACATAGCAGGGCTATATAGGTATTTAGCCCAGTGATTAAGCTGCTGCTTGGGATACCCACATGTCATATCAGAGTCCTTGGATTTCCTGCTAATGCACACCCTGAGAGGCAGCAGGTGATATGTCAAGTATTTGGTCCCTGCCACCCAGGTGGGAGACTTGATTGGAGTCCTGGCTTCAGCCTGGTCCAGCCCTTGCTGTTGCAGGTGTTTGGGGAATGAATCAACCAATGGAAGATAGCAATCTCAAAATCAGTCTCTCTGATACAGTGTTCTGCTAGACCTTTTTATTGTAATTATTACTTGACATGGAAATAGAGTACTCCTATCCTATGATTCACTCCAGAGACCCACAGCAACCAGAGCTGGGACACATCCAGAAGCCAAGAACTCGGGCCCGGTGTCCCATGGACCAAAATATTTGAACTATCAGTTGCTGCCTCTCAGAGTCTGCGTTGGCAGGAAACTAGAGCCATAAATCAAACTCAGGATATACACTGTAGGATTTGTGCACCTTTTTTTGTTTGTTTGTTTTCTTTTGGCTTTTGTTTTTTTTGTTTGTTTGTTTTTTCCTTTTTTAAAGATTGATTTATTTACTTGAAAGGTATAGTTACCAGAGAGAACTTATATCTGCTGGTTCATTCCCCAAATGTCTGCAATAGCCAGTGCTGGGCTAAAGCCAGGAGCGTCATCTGGGTCTCCCACTGGGGTTGAATAGCCCAAATATTTGGACCATCTTACACTGCTTTTCCCAGGCCTTTACAGGAGATGGATTAGAGCAGCCTAGACTTGAACTGCCACCCATTAAGGATGCCAGTGTCACAAGCTGTGGCTTTACCTGTTACACCACCTGCCAGCCTCTACATAGGCATCTGAACTGCTAAGCCAAATGTTTATTTTATGGACTTTTTTCTTTTCTTTCTTCTTCTTTTTTTGTTTTGTTTTGTTTTGTTTTTTAATTTGAAAAAGAGATCTTAAATCTGATAGCCCACTCTGCAAATGACCTGCAACAGCTAGGACTTGTCCAATCTGAAACCAGGAGCCATGGACTCAATCTCCCATGGGTGACAGGGACCCAATACTTGAGCAGTGGTCTCCAGCCCCCAGAGTGTGTGTTAAGAAGAAGCTGAGTCAGAAGCAGAAGCAGATCTCATCCTAGGCACTCCAGTAAGGGATGCAAAGGTCCCAGAAGGCAGGTTAATTTGCTATGACACAGTGTCCATCCCAGACTTACTTTTTTTTGTTGCTCCTTTTTTTTGATTTCTTCTATTCTGGTGTTGATGAAAGTATTCATTATAGATTATTATTGTAATGAATGGTGCCCAAGAAAGATTTCTCCTGGTTGAGGACCTGAGTTCTTGAAAGAGTTGGGAAAGAGGAAATGCTCCATTGGTAAATATTTTTTGTTACACTGCCAGCCTGGTTGATACTTCTGTTACTGGCTTTTGTGTGGGTATTTTCTCATTCCTCTTTTCTTCCTTTTTTTCCTTTTAGTATTTTAAAACTAGCTTTTTTGAATTCTATTTTTAATGTTGTTTACATAGTTGAGGATGTCTGCCCATGTGAGCCACCAGTTAGGGAGTGTCAAGACATAGAGGAAGGAGGGTGGGACACATGCCTCCAGTTCTTTCTCTCCTGTATCTGCAGGGCAGATGAGGGGAAAGGGAGGGTGAGTGTTGTTCCCTGTTGCCAAACTACGTCTGACCCAGGGATGAGGGGGTCATTTGATGTTATCTTACAGACCTTGATGGGAGGAATGTTCTGAGGATGTTTCTTGAATGCTTTTGATAGTTTTAGGTCATTGTGGTTTCGATGCTGCAGTGTTGAGAAAATCTTTCCAAGGTCTATTTGTTGACAAAGTCCACCTTAGTCCATCCACACACCCTTGCTGTAAAGCATGGCCAGGAGAGTTGTCCAACCAGTTCTGCTTTCCATCCTCTCACAAAGTGCTCAGTGTCCTCTGTTGGCCTTGATGAGCTGATTTTCATGTCCCCTGTGGGCATCTGGTCATGTTGTCTGTTGCACAGGCATCAGCAACCGAGCCTGTCCAGTCCTAATACGTGTACACTAATATACCCAATACATAGCACATATCGTATGATTTTCCCGGTAACCGGAGTTGGAGTCCAGCGGCATAGTTGGGGAGTCCCACAAGAAACCTAGTCTGATCCCAGACCTGACTCTTTTTTTTTTTAAAGATGTATTTATTTTTATTGGAAAGTCAGATATACAGAGAGGAGGAGAGACAGAGAGGAAGATCTTCTGTCTGATGATTCACTCCCCAAGAGAGCGCAACGGCCAGAGCTGCACTGATCCAAAGCCAGGAGCCAGAAACCTCCTCCAGGTCTCCCACACGGGTGCAGGGTCCAGGCTTTGGGCTGTGCTTGACTGCTTTCCCAGACCTCAAGCAGGGAGCTGAATGGGAAGCAGGGCTGCCGGGATTAGAATCTGCACCTGTATGGGATCCTGGCGCATTCAAAGCAAGGACTTTAGCCATTAGGCCACTGAACCAGCCCCAGACCTGACTCTTGAGTGCACCAGCTAGTAAAGGGTCCACTTCAGTCCATCACCCACATCATTCCATGCACATGCTGATGAATGCAGTTGCCTAGTCATTTGTGCCGCCAGCCCCATCTCCTACACAAACCAATGGGTGCAGTGGCCTAGCAAAACCCAGTCCTTGTATATACCAGCAGAAACTGCAGCCTAGTCAAGGCCACCCCCGATAGCTCCAATCAGGCCTGCCCTGAGTCTTAGTTCCTGCATGTGCCAGCATGTACTTCAGTCTTAGTCTGGTCTGTGCCACATCTCAGCCACTCTCATACATTCCTAAGATTCTGCAGCTTAGCTTTGTCAGACCCATCCCCAGACCCAGCACACAAATCTGCTGACAAGATACTGTCACCTTGTCTAGCTTTATCACCCCCAGCTCTGGCTCCCATGCCCATCGGTGGGAGCAGCAGCCCAGCAGAGTTCTCCCAGCAGGCCAACTCCCAGCCCCAGACCCTGCATCTGTTACGGAGTACTACAGTACAGCCTGACATCACCTGTACCCAGACCCAGCATTTACCAGCAGATATGGCAAAGCCCAGCTGGCCTGCACTCATCCTGGCTTTTGTATGTCCAGCAGATGTGTCAGCCCTGTCTAGCCTTGCCCTCTCCCAAACTCAGCCCACATGCAGACCAATGGGCCCTCCTGTCCACCCCCAGTCCCAGCTCTCACACCCACCAGCAGGAATAGTGGCATCCTTGAGTTTCCTGTAGCAGGTTTGTCCCTAACCCTGTGTCTTGCCTGTGCCAACAGGTGCTACAACCCATTCTGACATGGCCCACTCCACCTTTGCATTCACTGGCAGATCCTTTAGCCTGGCTCTGCACAGCCCACCCTAGTCCCAGCTCACCCTGGTGGTGCTATAGCCTAGCTCAGCCTTCTGCCCCCATCCTTATGTGAACCAGGGGTTGAAGTAACCCAGCCTGACATGGGCCAGACCCCATCCTGGTTCCCATACATACAAGTGGGTACTGAGGCTTGGCTCAGCCCAACCTGACAAGCCCCCTGAGTCAGCCCACACACATGCCAAGTGGTATAGCCCTGCCTGGCCTTGACCCACCCTGAGCCCAGGCCCTCTCACTTACCAGTTGGAGCCATGGCTTTGTAGAGGCACTCCCCAAATTCTCCCTACCAGGCCCACTGCCAGGCCCGATCTCATGCATGCCAGCGGGTGCTAGGCCCTTGCCCAGCATAGTTAACCTTCAGTCCTGGCCTTTGTATATGAACAACCTAACCTGCCCACAGACCCAATTCTTGAGTACTACAGTCTGGCCCAGCCTGGCATGCTTCCACGAGTGTCGGCGAGTTCTGTGGTCATTCTTGGCCCGGACAGCTACAACCCCCAGCAAACCAGCAGACACTGCAGACCCACATATCTCCCATAGAATCTGTCCCCAGACCTTGGCTCTCCCACATGCTGGCAGTGTCATGGCCCAGCCCTGTGTCGCCCATCCCCTGTCCCAACTGATATGTGCTACAGCCCAGCCCCCAAAGGCATGTCCATGGTCATTACCTCTCATGTACGCCAGTGGATGGCAGGTCTCCCACATGGGCAGTGCATTGTTTGGATCCAGATACACCGCCTTCCTCACCCCCTTGGTTTTCCCACCCCAACCCACCTGATCTTGACTTCCTCACCTACCTCTGACTACAGTGGCCCAGTTCACGGACACCTCCAGAAATCACTCCACACCTGCAAGACACTCCCTTGGTGGGTCCCCGACTCCCACACATCTCTAAAACCATCTTTCTCTGGCAAATCTGGTGGGACCTCCCAGCTGCCAGCCCCCCTCCCATGTATTTTAAAAAAAAGAAAGAAAAAGAATAGGAGCTATGCTGGCAGACTGGTATAGTTAACACAGATTTGGCTTTAACCAGGTCCAGAATGCCTGCCAGCTATTGGTTGCTTTTCTCCCAGCAGTGTAACATTTCCTTAGGAACAAGGCAACCTAGACAGTTGCCTTCAGCTGGGGCACTTCTCTTCATGGTTTTCTTTTGTTTGTTTGTTTTTTGTTTGTTTTGTTTTTGTTTTTCTTTAGAGATTTTTAACTGAGTTATTATCTTTTCTTAAGCCTCTTTATTTCCAGCATCCTCTTTAAGTACAGGTGCAATCCAGACTTTCCAAGTTTAAGGTAACTCCACCATGGGGCTGGTGTTGTGGCACTGCAGGTTAAGCTGACACTTTAAATGCAGGTGTCTGTTCAAGTCCTGGTTCCTCTACTTCCAGTCCAGTTCCCTGGGAAAACAACATAGAATAGCCCAACTATTTGGGCTCCTGCCACCTACCTGGGAAACCCAGATTGTGTTCCAGGATCCTGGCTTCTGCCTGGGGACTAGTCCCAGCTGTAATGGCCTCTTGAGAAATGAACTAATGATTGGAAACTATTTCTCTTTCTTTTTGTTTCTGTCTTTCTGTCTTGCTCTGTCACTGTCAAATTAATAAATCTTTTAAAAAATAATAATATCACTCGCTTGTCAGTGTTCACACCTGGTGGACAAGATGAGGCAAGAGGAAGCCTGCCTTCTTGGATTTTTGCAGATAAACACAACGTCAGGAATATGTAGTAAATGATGAGTTTTCCTTTAAGTCTGATACCTTTTAAGAGGCAGTTATGTGCTTCAGTTTAAACACATGTGTTCGGCTCCAGTGTGATAGCCTAGTGGTTAAATCCATGTCTTGCATGTTCTAAGATTCCAAATGAGCGCTGGTATGTATCCCAGCTGTTCCACTTCCCATCCAGGTCCCTGCTTGTGACCTGGGAAAGCAGTAGATGATAGCCATGGCCTTGGGAGTTTGCACCTACGTGGGAGACCTGGAAGAAACTCCTGGCTTCAGATTGGCTTGGCTCCAGCCATTGCAGCCACTTGGGAAATGAACCAGTGGATGGAAGATCTTTCTCTTTATGTCTGTTCTCTGTGTATCTGCCTTTCCAATACAAATAGATCTTGAAAAAATACATGAGTTCAGTTGACTGTTCATCTGACGTAATTTTTTTTGCATTTATTAGTTTATATTGGAAAGGCAGATTTACAGAGAGGAAAGGCAGAGAGAACAGTCTTTCATCCATTTGTTCACTGTACAAGTGTTCAGCTAGACCTGAGCTGATCCAAAGCCAAGAGCAACTTTTATGTCTCCAGTGTGGGTGCAGGAGCCCAAGGACTTGGGCCATCCTCTGCTGCTTTCCCAGGCCATAAGCAGGGAGCTGGATGGGAAGTGGAGCAGCCAGGATACAAGCCGGCACCCATTTATGGGATGCTAGTGCTTAGAGGTAAAGGATTAGCCCATTGAACCATAATGTTGGCCCTGACACAGATTTTGTTTTCATGTTTCTACCAGGACCAGAGAGGGTTGGTAGCAACTGACTAAGCAGAGCAGGCCATTTCTTCCTCCTTGTGGATGACCATTTAAATTATGTCATAATGAATGATTAGCTGCCATAAATAGAATTGTTCCCTGACTAATTCAAGTGCCACTTACGGAATCCGGGAAACCAAGACACCGTTGTACACTGTTGCAGAACTTCTGTAGTAACAGTAGTTCCCTACTTAGTACTGGAAGCAAGTCCCTGTCCCCTGTTATTTAGGTATAAAGGATTTTGGTTTCTCTCCTTTGCAGACTGTCAGCCGACACTTCAGGAATATACCTGTGAATGAAAAAGAGACCCTCGCCTATTTCATCTACATGGTGAAGAGTAACAAGAGCAGACTGGACCAGAAATCAGAGGGCAGCAAGCAGCTTGAATGAAGACAAAGCCCTTGATATATAATGCTTAATGCACAGGTGATATCTGCTACACTTAAAGACTGTTAATTTTTATTGTAAATAAAAAAGTTTGAATGATGAATACTGTAAATCTTTTCGGTCAAGAGAATTAATATTCTCATGACTCAGCATGTGTATAGAAAGACTTTTTAAGATAATTGCTGGACTGAAACAAACAGGATCATAAAAAGAATTACAGAAAAATGATGTATTGCAGCATTCAGCAAAATATTATGTTTCTTCTACTGGAAATGTGAGATAAGAAATAGTTTGGTTGTCACCTTGCAATTGCAGGCTGCCACCTGTGAGACACCACCACCCTAGAATGGGATAGGGTAGAGTTGATGGTGGGGGTGCCTTAGCAGAATAGAACTGGGCTTCAACATTGCCCACAGGGAATGTAGATGGCCTGCTTTGTTGAAAATTTTGTTGTCATTATTAGTTTGACGTTGTTCCCCTCACTAGTTCTGTGCCTTTTCTACAGTGGGCACTTGATCAGTATTGCGTTGGCTGACCTGTCAGCAGTGCCAGCACTGTGATGTCTGCCTCCTTGCTCTTGCTACTGAAATGTCCACCATTTCTATTGCTTTGCCACTTAATTACAGTGTGGAGAAAATTTGATGCAAAGAGAGGTTGCAGATCCAAAGAGTATTTTGGGGCAATTGGATGTCCCTACTTGTCAAGGCTTCAAAAACACTGATAAATGTTTCTCACAGGAGACATGGTACTTTGCACACCCCTCTATGCTTCACTTTAGAGATGAAGTTACTTATTAAAACTTCAGCCAGGCTCCTGGGCAATAAATGCTTTGACCCAATGAGCAGTGTAGTGATTTGGGGCTAATGTTTTCAGAAGTATTAATCCTCAGTTCATAACCACCAGGAAAGCTGCCAAGGACCGTAAGACTCCTGCTCAGAAGTTCAGCTGTGGGGTAGAAAGTCTGCTGACCTTGAATCCCTGGGCTCTCTCTGATAGACAGCACATCATGAATTTGAGCAACCAAGGTTAGTGCCATCTGATGCTCATTTTGTGAGCAATTTACTTCCCAATTTGAGAGGAAGCTTGCATAAGATAATTTTTAAAGTATTAACAATGACCTGATTGTTGTTGTTCAGTAAGTCACTCTTCTAATTATATTGGAACCAAAGTATCCTGTGAAAACAAAGCTTTATATATGTTTAAAAAAAAAGCTTTTGCAGAATTCTCTTTATAATTAGTGTGTTGAGAGCAGAGAGTTGGGTAGAAGGAAGCTGAGAGAAAAAGAATTTGGATTCTAATTTCTGACAATCTTGATAAATGATTGTCATCTTCCTTCTCAATTTTGATTTTGTTTTTATTTTGTAAGCCTTAATATTAAAAGGAGCAGCACACAGCCTGGCTAGCAAAGTTTTCATGCCTCATAGATGACTTAATCTGAGCACCGTCAGCGAAAAGTCAGAACAGAACCAAAAACCCCACTGGGCAGTGTGGCAGTGTCCGAAGGTCCCAGTTCTGTGAGCAGAGTACCATACCTTCTGTGCAACGGGGACGGGACCACCACGCTCACCACCATGCAGTGTGTTCCCTTGCAGCAAGGCTGTCACCAGTGTTCCAAGTGCATGTCTGGCAGATTGCACCCTTTTTACATGTGTGTAGATGAATGTATATAGACAGTACTCTGGACTCTGTAGGGATCCTGTTTTGATACACTTGACTGTGGCTGGCATGTCAAGGTACTCTTGAGTATTCTCAGTCATTCAGATCCAGTATGTATTTAGTGATTATTTCCTTACCTACAGCTGAAGAATATGGATAGCAACCTCAAGAACCCTCATCAGGGGCTGAAGTTTGGTGGCAGATGGAGCCTGCAGGTTAAGGCATCATTAACGTGCTCTCTGGAAATGTATCTTGTTAAGGAATAATGTATTTTTTTGATATTTATTGCCAAAATTGTGAGCATGTAGGTCATGTCACAACTTTGTTAACAGCAAATCTGTTTTCCCAGTGGAGAGAAACAGCAGCGCATTTCTGTACAAGAAGACGTGGTATCAGGATCCACCTGTTGAAGTGTGTCTGTAAGATGGCTTTTGTTCCAAAGTGAGGCCTAGGCGACTTTTCACCTTCAGCCGAAGGCTGTGCATACTTGAGTCTTCATGTCGTCTTGAAAAGTGCTTTGGAAAGTGGAAATTATAGATATCTTTTTCAGCTTTTTAAAAACAGATCGGTTAAGACGAAGAGACACCGTTGTTTGAAGTTTACTCATGTCCAGCTATCTGTTCTTTCATCAAACCACTAAACCACTTGCCTTAGCCTCTGCCACAATTGCTGACAGCTTCATCTGTGTGCACAACACTTCTGCCTGTGAGCAACAGCAGGCCTTCCACAACAACAGGCTCTGGCTAGAGGGAGCGGTGGGGCTGGGGAAAGCAGTGTGGGGCATGGCTACCTGTCAGATGTGTGCGCTTCTCTCCAGGTGTGACTGCAGCATTGCCTTCTCTCCTCTTGGTGCTCCTGGGCAAAACTGGAATGTGACACCCAGAACTGGCATTGTCTTGTCTAACAGTTATGGTTCCTGCCTCTGTTCCAGCATTGCAAGATTCTTTGATGTGCCCTGAAGGTGGTCACAAGAAAACATCAGTATCCTGCCATTTGTGTTTTTTTCAACTTGTTTTCAAAAAACAAACAGACAAACTTTCAAAGAACAGACTCTTAGGTTGGCCGACAGCATGTAATAATGATCATAGCTGAATCTCATGAAAGATTGAAACCAAAGGATTCAAGACAGTGTTGTAAACTGAAGAATTTCATTGTTGTGTTATAGCTGCCGAGTTATTAGATGTTCTCTTGTAGCTAAATAGTCACAGCTAGCCTCTTGAAGAACAGCTAGAACAGCTAGAATGTGGAGTTGGCATTTGGACTGTTTATTTTGTGGGAACTTTTTGTTACTAACCTGTACAACATCTACCCTGGTAGAAGGGAGAGAAAGTGGGGATGCAAACTGCTTGTTGAATGGGTTGTCCTCGGTGTGTGTCCCAGGGGAATTTGGCCCTGGATGTCACCTGAAAACTCTGAACCATTACAAGAATAAGGTCCAAAAGTTGTGAAAGGACTTTACATTGCCTAGCCCAATTTCCCCTTAGGTGCTGACATGCTGCTTTACAACTATCCCAACAAGGAGTTGAGCAGTCTGGACTTAAACACCTCTGAGGACAGAGAACTCACTACCTCCTGGGGAACCTGTTCTATCCTTGTAAACCTCTGGCTTTTTTGTATTCTCTGTCATTTCCATCTGCTCTGTGGTGCCCATTGTGGAATAAGTTTATTTTGGCCAAGTACCTAATTGCACTATCCCAGGGCATAATGTGTTTGGGAAAGGAGCGACTAGGACATAGGCACTCTTACGTTCTGACTGTCCTTGTCCCCGAGTATTGGTCTACTTAGTTCCTTGTTGGAGGATGTGGAAGAAACCCCATTAGTCTGGCTGTACTCCTTTGTTCCTGTCAAAGTGGTGACATGGGGCAGGAGCAGGGAGGATGTTAGCACCTTGCTAAAAAAAAGAAAATCTCCTAAGACAGATGAGGCTTTAGTTGTGTGCTTGTCCTACAAAAACCTAATGCTCACAGTATCACTTAGGGTAAACTTCACCCAGAACATTATAAAATGTCATTGCTATGCGTGAAGTTTGGAGGTCCCATGGTTGCCAGCAGTGTGTACCTTGTGATTCCTGTAACAACCTCACACAGTTTTCAAAAGCAAAGGTGAAGAACCTGAGAGTGGGAAGTCATGTCTTAGAGAAGTGCCATAGTGGAAGTCCTTTTTAAGTTACAATTGTCCAATCAATTTTTAAGGATGAAAAAACCAAATTCACGATTTGCTTGAGGTGATATAGCATTATCAAACTAATTTCTAGTCCTCTTAAACTGTCCAGCATTCAGATCACCTTATGATTTAAACAATGCATCTAATTCAGTCAAAAATAAGCTGCCCTCAGACTCTAAAGAATTTGTAACAGAGCATAAGTCCAAGGCCACCCTGGTTCTCGGGACAATGAACCAACCTACAGAATGTAGGGTTAAATTCCAAATGATTGGACTAGACAAGCTTTTGTAAAACCAGTAATAAAGGGAAAACAGATCTGTTAATTCAAGACCAAGGTTCACAGGCTTTCATAGGAAATATCTTGTCCTAGAGTCAGTTCTCATGAAATAGGCTTGGTGCTGAGGGGTCCATTTTCCACCTTCCAAGCAGTCCTTTGAGAGTATGCAGTTCAGCTGGCTCTGGCCCCTGGCCCTCCTGCTGAGTTCTGCAGTTGAGAAACAGGTGAACTGAACATCATGCCCTGGGGAAGTAGGGTGCCATTTACTCCTTTCATTATTACAGACTGTTCCCACAATTATGATTAGGAAGGGTCAAGTTGATTGCCATTTGAAGTAGAATCCAGCCTGAGGCAAGGTGGGACCTTTTCTTGAGGCAAAAAAAAAAAAAAGGCTATACTCAGTTGTTGCATCAAGCTTATGTCTTGACACACCTACCCTTCAGTTGCTTTCATCTACTGAATACATTTACCAGCGACACAGGGCTGAACAGGATCCCTGTTTAGCATCGCTGTTGACCTGTGCTCATCAGAGTATTTTGGGGTATGGGTCTTTTCCTTTCTCCATTTTGTAAATGCCTTATTGAAAAGTAAGTGCCCTTCCATTTCAGGCCTCCTCATATTGTACTTGTTTCCTGCAAAAATTCAGGAGATTGTGTTTTAATTTTATAATCTATGGCTCTGTACTGTTTGAAAGACTCTCAATTCTATGAGGTCTCTTTGTATGTATGTGACTTTCATGCTGCAGTATCGCACAGATGAGATGGCTCTTAATAAACGATCTGAATGAGTAAAAGACACTCTGTGTGTCCTTTGAAGGTCCCGTTCGGAATTCAGGTTTTTTGGCGTCCTTCACTGTACGTTATAGGGATTAATGTCAGCAGTCCGTGTTCTCAGCTTCTTGTATCAGCACCTACATTTCCCCGGCACCCACAGAGCATATCCAGTTTGTTCAGATCGCAAGTGATTGGGCACACGTTCTAGCTTTCCTATCCCAGTCACTTAATGTGGAAAGAGACTGGCCAGACCCAACGGCTTGATGGTGGGGCTTAACTTCGGTGTAGTGTACCAGATACCCTGGGCAGTGGTGTGCACTCTCTAGGTCTTCCCCTGTTCATCAGTGCATGAGAGTCCTGAGTCAAATAGAAGGAGGGTTGTACATTAAAATGCCTGCAAGGGGCAGCTGCATTCTGGCACACTTGGATCCCTTCACAAGTCAGCCACTGCTCAGCTCCTGCCTGTTGCTACCATGTGGGATCAGGTCTTGCAATTTTAACAACAGGAATTGGAAGTCTAGACCTTCATGTAAATGTTCCCAAAACTTAATTTTAACAGTGGATAGGATGTATTTATTTAACATTGCCCCATTGGAAAAGTACTTGGGAAGAAATGTGCAGTCTCTTTACCTGCATCTACCATCCAGGAACCAGACCAGGCTGGTACCTAGCGCGTTGTGGTTTGAGAAGCCTGGGCTATTAACTGAGTTTCACTGATTGGGTCCCTGGGGCCTGGCAGGAGGATTCCCATTCCCCAGCTCAGGCCCAGGTCTCCTTTCAAATTCCTTATGAGTGTATGAATGCCATTTGACTACATCTCTGTCCTCAATAGACGGAAAGAAAGAAAGTAAATTGTCTTTATCATACTGGTTAAATAGAAGTAATAATCCTGCGTGTAAAGTTTTTTTTGTTTTGTTTGTTAATTATTGGGCCCAGTGTGATAGCTTGGTGGCTAATGTCCTCACCTTGCATGCACTGGGGTCCTATGTGGGTTTGTATCCCAACTGTTCCACTGCCCATCCAGCTCCCTGCATGTGTCTTGGGAAAGCAGTAGAGGATGGTCCAAAGCCTTGAAACCCTGCACCCATGTGGGAGATCCAGAAGAAGCCCCTGGCTTCAGATTAGCTTGGCTCTGGCTATTGCAGCCATTTGGGGAGTAAACCAGCAGATGTAAGACCAAATATATATTTTTAAAAATTTATTTACTTTTTATGAGAAAGGTGGATTTACAGAGAGGCAAGAGAGAAAGATTCGTCCACTGGTTCACCCAGCCAGTCTGAAGCCAGGAGCTTCCTCTGGGTCTCCCATGCAGGTACAGGATTCAAGGCTTTGGGCCCAGCGGCGTGGCCTAGTGGCTAAAGTCCTCACCTTGAACGCACCACGATCCCATGTGGACGCCGGTTCTAATCCCAGTGGCCCCACTTCCCCTCCAGCTCCCTGCTTGTGGCCTGGGAAAGCAGTTGAGGACAGCCCAAAGCCTTTGGGACCCTGCACTCATGTGAGAGACCCAGAAGAGGTTCCTGGTTCCCGGCTTTGGATCGGTGCAATACCAGCCGTTGCGGCTCAGTTGGGGAGTGAATCATCAGACAGAAGATTTTCCTCTCTGTCTCTCCTCCTCTCTGTATATCTGACTTTGTAATAAAAATGAATAAATCTTTAAAAAAACAAAAACAAAAACAGGATTCAAGGCTTTAAGCCGTCCTCTGCTGCTTTTCAAGGCCACAAGCAGGGAGCTGGATGGGAAGTGGAGCAACCAGGACAGAAACCCGGGAAACTTTTAAACCATAAGTAAATTTAAAAAGTGTAGACCCTCTCACCATCTTCATTTTCTTATTCCACTCCCCTATAAGCCTTGTGGGGAGAGATGTCCCATGAGGCTTTAGTGGGGTCTAAGAATGGGGAGTTCTGGCTTTTGCCAGGACCCTCACAGGACCAAGATGGATTTTTGCTGAAGAATACCATTATTTACAGGATCTCCGAGTTGATCTTCTGACTGCAAAGGAAGTTCCACTTGTCCTGCCATTTGGTCTCTCCATTTGAGGCATACTGTAAGTAGTTGTTTCTATTCCTCTGCTGCCCTCCACACTTTATATCCAACCACAGAGGCAGTCTACTCTCCTCTGGCTACTTACACACTGAACTGCAGAGAAGTGCTTTATTCCCAAGCTTCTCCCAAACTCTGCTGCATATTCTGCAAGGCAGTTAGTACTTGGATCTCTGTGCTCCTGGCTTCAGCTCTGTCCAGCCCAAGCCATTCCAGGTATCTGGGGAGTGACTCAGCAGATAGGAACCCCCTTTTTTTCTATCAACCTGTTATTCTACCTGTCAACTAAATAATTTCAAATTAGAAAAATAAATTTCCCAGAGCCATCGTGGCCCAACATGTTACCACTTGCAGCGTCTCCTCTCAGAACCCAATAACATTCCAGCTACTCTGTTTCTGATCCAGCTGCCTGCTAATGAGCATGGGAAGACAGAGAAATTGGCTCAAGCACCTCAAGCCTTGCCCTCATGGGTCCTAACATCAGCCTAGCCCAGCCTAAGCCATTATGGCCATTTGGAAAGAAATAGTGGATGGAAGATTGTTTCCCCACCCATACCACTACTGTCACTCCACAAATCATCATCATCATCTAAGCAAAAATCCTGCAGTAAAAATGAATTTCCCCAGGTAAGACTTAAACTCAATAAAGCAGAGAAGCACTTTTGTGGTCCCAAGATTGCCCAGTCCTAGCCTGCAGATGAGCAGCTTCAGCAAGATAAAAATTAACAGTGAGATCTATATAAATAAAAGTCTTGAGGTGGAGGGGCTTGGGTGGGAGGGTAAGAGGAAGCTGTGTTTTTATATAATCTGGATTTTTCTCTTCACATCCAGGTTTGAGAGCCTCTAGATTCAACCACCTAAGGCTCAGGACAGCAAAGTAGCTACGTTGAGCATCAAAACAGGTCAGTGTCAGCCTGAGCACATAGAATGACAGGGCAGCCACAAAGATACCATTAAGGCACATCATTCAAACAGATAGCCTTCAGTCTATACAGGGTCAGAGTTGGAACAGGCCACAATTCCCAGTGCAGTGCCTGGCATGTTGGCCACTGTAAATGTTGGTGATTGAAACTTTTCATTTATAAAACTTTTTAAATTTCCAAGGCTTTTCCACATCCAGGAATAATAATAGCTACCAAGGACAGGGTGCATGCCAATGTTCTAATGATTTCATGCACATTATTTCATTTAATCTCTACAATCATATAAAATAGGAACTGCTATTAATTCCAATTTATAGAGGTATAAATACAGACTCAGAGAGGTCGAGGAACTTCTGGGACCAGAGCCAAGCTTCATCTGGCCCTGGGGACACTGTTGTCAGGTCCTGCCATCAAAGAACTCAGAATGCCGAGCTTTGAAGCAGCACAGCCACAACAGTTAACCCTTGTGCTGATAAACGGGATTGACTAAACTTTAATGAGGTATTCCAAGAAGTCTCTGAGACTCGTTAGGAAATTTAATAGGGTTTAATGGAGGTTAACAAGATACATCCACTCTCCTAGCCAGGTTTCAACTTACCAGAACTGAACAGGAATTAAACCCAGGAGGTAGAAAGGCACCTGCATGATTTAATGGGGTTAATGAAACTGTCAGAGGTTGACTGAGAGGGACAGAACTAGAGTGGACCACTGTTAATAATTCAATCCAGTTGAGGTCAACGTTTATTCAGCAGCTGAAGCCTGCCCTGCCCTGCCCTGGGCACTACAGAGGTAGCAAGTGAAAAAGAGGCCACAACCAGCAGGCTGATCGTGGTTAGACTTGGTTGATGGTTTGGGGAGTGAGCTTTACTTTCTCCTTTGTAATTTCTTGGCATCCTCTAAACTGTTGATAACAGGCAGAGATCATTTTCACCATAATTGTAAAATAGCAAAATAATTCTTAAGATGCCCTCAAAATACTATCTGCTTGCATAATTTAAATTGCATATTCCTAAGACAGGTAGAAAGTAGAAGATGGGAAAACAACTTAAATTTGGCAGCACTTGGAGTTGTAAAGAGCTATCTCTGTCTCTGGGTTTTTATCACACAGAGGAAAGCAGTGAAATTGTGGGTCACACCAGTAGAGGGAAAGCCTCAGCAAATCCTCCCCTTACACCTCCCAAATTGGTACCAAGTTGTCACCAATGGCTGACTATGTGATAGGTCCCATAGTAAGCATCTCATGTGTCTTGACAACTCTATGAGATACAAACCATTGTAATCCTTGTTGTAGATAAAAGATGAATGGTGAGATGGCTTGTCCAGAATCATCAGCAAGTGGTGGAGATGAGAGTCTTAGCACAGGTCCCAGAGTCCACCCTTGCTGTGCTGCCTGCTATATGGGCAAGGTGATATCTAACAGGAGCATTGTTTGGAACAGTGAAGAACTAAATACAGCCTGTATACCGAGTCAGAGTTCTGAGGTGGTGGGCTTCTAGAATAGCAATTAAGATGCCAATGAAGGTGCCATGTCTCATATTAGGTTCAGTTCCCAACTCCTGCTCCTCATTCCAAAATTCTGCTAATGCACACAATGAACTATGGTCAAGAAAATTAGCATCTGTTGTGGGCAGGTGTCTATGGGAATAAACTGTGCTCCAGGAGCAGGAAATTTCAGAAAGGATCAAGACTCACTTAGGAGTGAAACACAGCCCTTCTGCTACCAAGATGGCAGAATCTGGGAGCAAGGCACAGAACCCCAGGTCCAGCCCCACTCAACTGAAGAAGGAGCATCAGTAAAATGGGCTCTTAAAAGTCCTAGGGAAGCCAGTGAGACGTAGCATCCTTAGCACACTTACTTAAGCTAAGAAGTGAATGAAGCTTCCCGAGGGCTCATAGCCACCAGCAGGGCTGCATGTGGATAGATCAGCAGTGGGAGGGTACCTGTGCCCCATTAACACCTCTGCCACCTGCCTAGGTGACAGAGTGAGAGGAAGGGGAAGAGCTTCAGGGGGAGATGCTCAGTGAGCTGGACCATCATGGTCAGATGGGGCTC